AAAAGAGGAGGGAGGAGGTAATGGATGGAAAAGAGTAGGAAGTGTGCTGCTAGTTTTTGCCGCGGATACTTGGGGTAGAAAAAGGGGTAAAATATTGTTTGCTCGGAGAGATACCCCATCGTGGAGGAAAAAGGAAAGACGGGCGAATCACTTTGCCAGTATCGGCCTCAGTGATCATGTTTCGCATTTATATGTTAGTGCCTTTCAAAACAGCTGCAATGAAAAAGATGAAATTTTGGGTATATTTTCCTACCCCGTGCGTCACCCTCCCGTTTTAAGATCTTCCCCACACACGCACCTAGACCCCGCGTACGGACCCCGAAAAAAAAATACTCCCTGTTATATCGTTTCAGATGATCTTAATAATGTTTAATGCTAATACACACAAAAGTATCACTGCTAGGTTAGTAAGAATGGGAAAATATTACAGTTCCTTTTTCAGGTGTCAGCAATGTTGCGGCAGCAAAAGCAGAAATAGTGGATGCGCTGAAGAATGTTTCTCTGGACTTGCAACATGGTGCTAAAATTGCAGAAATTCTGAACAAATCTTGCATTTGGGCCCAGTACAAGGATCAGCGTCATGATCTTTTCATTCCAGCAAGCAATACATACGCTATTGCAGGTAGTACTGGTTTTATTAAAGGATAAAGAGAAAATAATGAAGTTTTTTCAAAAAATTAAGAAGGGAAGAAAAACGAAGTAAAAAAGGGAAATGGAAGTATGGAAATATTTGCAATAGATAAGAAATGTTTCTGTCCATTAAGTCGTATACATTTCTTACCGTTATCACAGGGTAACTGATTTTAGTTTTTGTCAAATTTTTTGAAATTTTTTTGGTATTTTGATACTTTTAGTCAGTACATTTTGTAGCGTATTTTTCCAGCTATGCACATGGCAATTCCCCTAGTTGCTTTGATCAATGCTGCTGCATTGCCTGGCGGTCGGGCCAGCCTGCTGGCGATTCTGAAGTCTTTTTTTAGTCGTCTGAAGGAATTAGCGTCTTTCTTGACAAAAGCAGTTTCTCCAGGACATTATCGCACTCGTCAGATCTCAGGCAGAAGGCAGCACGGAGGTCGGTCATCGTTACATTCAGGTGTTCACCACACGTTCCAACGACCACCGGCACAAATATCACTTCCTGCTTGTAATGAGTCCGTAGATCTGAAACAAGATGCAAGGCCTTCGCTGTTTCACCTCAGTTTGGTAGACGAACACTAGAAGTTGCGAAAATGAATTCAGATTTTGGCCTTAAGTCTGAATTCAATTGCCAATGCAAAACCCTTCATATTCAGGCATACTTCATACGAGTTTCTGAGTAAATTCCAATTTTGTCCAGAAAGATCTATTTTCTCCTGGTTCCTGAAAGAAAAGGCTCGTTATGATAACTAATTTCTATTTAAGTTGTTCAAATCTAGAAGTAAGATGTCTATTCAAATTTGATTTTTACAAATTTATTGAATCTTTTAATCCTCATATAGGATATTTTCGAATTTTAGGTGCGCAGTCCGGTATTGCCGGTTATTTAACTGAGCGAATGTTTACACCACCATCAACCAACTTCACACCACCACCAATATCGTCCAAAAAAAAAGATAATTGAAATATTGTTCCTTATAGATCCTTTCTTTTTTACTAACTGACGGATCTTTCAATAGTTTATTCGTTTTTCGATTTCCGAAGTTTCTTTCTGTTACAACGCTTTGAGCTTAAATTTTGTCCGAACTTTATTTTTTACTGAAAGTTGCGTGGGGAATTTTCGTTTTGCATAATTTTTTTTGCGTAGGCGCCGGAAATTTTCGTAGATTCCGGAAATTAGGAAATTTTCATTTTGTGTAAATTCCGGAAATTTGTTTTACTGCAAAATGATTTTCTCTGTATAATATTTTGCCTTTCTAACTCTTGTTTCTTCTTTCGCTTCTCGATTTTTCAGTGTTGCTTTGTGGCTTTATAACTTGTCCATTGTTTTGATGCGAATTTTGTTAATTTTAAGTGTGTTTGTGTAAAAAAAGTGGGGCTTGGGAAGAAAAGTGTGAAGAAATTGTCATTTCCATTAGTGGCAAAAAGAAACTCGACGGTGAAACAACATCTGATTTAAGCAAAAAAATATGTATAAATACCAAGCTTCGTGAGCGGGGTGTTTTTGCACTAAATTATTTTTAATTATTTCGTTTTTCCTAGAAAGCATTAAACAGTTACAGCTTAGAATAATAATAGTTTTGCTGACAGAACAATACAAGACTTCAAATAATAAAAACTTTAAAGGAACTTTAAAACCTAATAAGAACTTTAAAACTTTAAAATAAGAACTTTAAAACGCTATATCATTCAAAAAAAATCCGAATGCTTTCCATTCTTTCAAGAAAAAGGACCAGGGTTTTTGAGGGATTTTGAACTTGAAGAATATATTTCGAACAAAAAGTCGAAAATTCCTCTGTGTTCTGCCTGTGAAATGCGGAGGCATTCGGAAGTAGCTGCCCGAACAGTCGCACACATCTCAACAGTATTGTTACTGTACTTAAATTATTCACGATTCCCTGTTATTTATTTTATGTCCATTTAGGCAAATAGTCATGGATTTCTTTTTTTCTTCGCACTTTAATACTTCACATATATTGTTTTTTTTTTTTTTTTAAATTTTCTTTTTTCTTTGTATACTTAATCGATCTGCCAATTTCACCATATTACTAACTGATATGTTTTTCCCCCTGAATGATACTGTTTTTTTGTATGCGTTTTCTTGTGCCTTTTTCCTGAAAGGAGCTCACTTTTTTTCATATCATAATTAGACCGAATTGCCCATCCTGCCGCTTTTATGCCATAATTTTGCACAGATTGCGTTAATTTTTCCTTTAGAATTATCGCGAAAAATTTCAACAATTAGTGTTTTTAGCTTGAGTTAAAAAAAAAACCGGCGGTTTAAATTTTTTTACTCAATTTAATACTTTCTTCAGATGCATATTTTTCATAGCCTGCTTCTTCATCTGTGCAGCTGGCAACTTTTCCAGTTGTTTTGTCCAGTGCTGCATTGTCCGGTGTTTTGGCTTGATTTTGGCAATCCTAATGTTCATTTCGTTTCCTGAAAGAGTTATTAGCTCAATTTTTTCCTCTCCGGCAGAAATAGTTGGCAGAGGTTCAACTTTACTATCCTTTCTCGAACAGCATCCTTCCTACATTACGATGAAATGCCTTACCAACGAAAGATACTTACTTTAAAAGTTATAAACTGCGAGGAGTCGGAGTAAGTTTTAGCTTATTTATTGAAGATTGAATTCTTTTGTATTCCCTCATCCTGAGAACTTGCCATTAAATGTTGTATTATTAGCTGCATGATTTCATCTGTTCTGTATAAACTCTCTGAATATTACGCATGTTGTATGCATTTTTGCACCAGCTTACTGAATGTTATTAAATACATAATGCAATTGATTTAAATGTCACGTTTTCCCCGTCTAATCAAGAAATGCGATGGTTTGATGGGTTTTTTGTATTTGAG